AGCTGGCTGGACATGCTTGAGTGGAACACCATGCAAATATAAGCACACAGAGAGACCTTGTTTTCCGGACACAAAGACGCAGGTTAGTGAATCTCACTTGGCTCTGAGCAAACCGTTCAACCTCAGTGTTGCTTGACACAGAAGTACAGACCACTTCCCAAGGAACCTGAGGCACAGCTTTTCACACAGCAATTTCTCTTCGCCTGCTGACCTTTTTTGGCACACCAGGTGCCATGCAGGGGCCTGGCAGCAACCTGCACCCACCCACTGCTGATGCTCCCACTCCCTTCAGGCCAGAACCAATTCATCAGTATAATGAAAGGTATCTGAGTGGGTGCTTAAGGAGAAAATTACAGATATTTTTGTACAAAGCTAAGGACTACTCAGTGTCCCTGCTTCCCAGCACACATCCTTGGTTCACTTTAGGCATATATGTCTTGATTCCCTGTGGTCATCATTCTGAGACAGGCACTTTGTGTTGCAGGTAACTTCAGTGGCACTGGAACATTTAAATTCAAGTACGTGACATCTGCAAGGTACTCTGGTAGCTCCAAGTCCACAGACACCCAAGGTTTCACTGAAAACTTTGTTGGGAAGCTAAAATCATGCAAACCTTCCTCTAACTAGAGGCATTGCCACCTTCTCTCCACTGAACACCAGTTATTTCCATGTTTGTATCTTGAATTCTGTGTGAACTACTTCATGGTGCTGACGTCCTGAGGAATGGTGGTGAGTGTCTTCAGCTGATGTTGACTTCCTTTTTTTTCCCCCTAAGAAAATTGAAACCAGATTTCCAAGATGATCAATCATACGGTGCCCCAAAATAGAATTTCATAAAGGAAGCTTTTTAGAACATCAGCTGTAGAGATGGACCAAGGCCTCTTGACTAAGAAAGACCTGGCAGTAATATGTCTTCTATTACCAAAACTTTGCAAAAGACCTAATTCTGGAAGATACAGACTATCATTTTTGCTAACATGATCTCCTGTGGCATTCAGCAGACTTAGCAAAGACCAGGAAATGCAGATCATTATATTCCCGTTCAAACATAATTATCATTTTACTGCATGTTTAAAAAAAATCAGGTTTTGAGTACTTGTTGTATCAATAAGTATGCATAGTATGCATATAGAATTACATGGTACATACCATTGTCCTCTCTGAAGAAGAGCTTTAAGTGTGGCAAGGCAGCAGCAAAACCTTTAGTGTCATTCAGCTTTCAGTGGTTGTGCAGGAAGAAGCTCCAAAAAGGAACATAATGATGTTATATTTGTTAAAATGCTGTACTGGAAAATGCTCAGGTCTGACTCTAAGCATTTGTCTGAAAGGAGTTTTGATCTGGCTCTGATCTGACAAGAACTCAGGAGAGCATTTGTAGGTCGAATGACTCCCTCTCTAGGTTACCAGGCTGATATTTGAGTCACTCAGGTGCTCTGGCAGAGATAAGCATAATCTGCAATGACATCTAGGCTACACCAGAAGACAATGCTGCTCTGGTGTATTATTCAAATATGTGCCAGCAGACTGGCTTCCACTGCTTAAATACACACTGCAGTGCATTTGTGGTTAAAGCTGCACTCAGAATGGCAGAACTAAACTGAACTGCCACCCTCAGGAAAACTTTATTAGAATAATTTCACATTAGGCAGTTTATGTAACTAGATGTTAAAAACACTGCTTTCTAGAAACACTGTCAAGCACTTACTCTCGAATAACCCATTCAACTTATTATTTATCCAGAGGTACCTGGAAATGCCGACCATACAGATTCCTGGAAATCGTTGCACTGGAACAACTCTTCAACTTACTCTTGACTTACTTTGGGAATGCCATTTCAGATCAAAATGATGAGGATATCTGGCATTGAAAATCAAATAGTTAGGAGATCTAAACTGGTATGGGTTTTGATGCACAGAGAAAAGGCAGATCACATGAACTTTGCAAAATTACTGACTTTGCCAGTTTCCAAAAGAAATATATTGTGCTTTTTTCTCTAAGTCCTTGAAAGCATGGTTCCCATCATATAGTTATCAGACAGAGGATTTTCATTAATGCTGAACATAACTTATGCTGCAGACTGTGGAACAAACTTCTAGGACTGTTTTTTATACTAGGTGGAGATGATACAAAGATATCATTAAGGGTTAGTGTTTTGGTATGGAGCCATAAGGTCAGTCCTGTTACAATCATGTGGTGTCACTTCAGCAAAGGCTCTGAAATTGTTTAAATATACTTAATATTTTGTGCTGCCAGAGTAGAGGAGAATCTCAGCCTATTTCTAAAACATCCAACTAATTTAAAATAAAACCACTAAGTATCAGTAGCAATATAATAAGTTTTCAGTATGTAAGAACTTCTTGCTTCTCTTCCTCTTGTTCTTTCCTTCAAGGTTTTTTTTTTGTGGCAAAGCTTTATGCAGGAATGAATGGCAAAAGTGACATTGCTGTCATCAAGAGAAATCCCTTGGAGCAGAAAGAATACCTCCAGCATAGCTTTGGAGGGAACATGAGGAATGAGAAAAACAACATGCATTTTCAAAATTCTTTCCAACATGAGAGGCACATAAAATATAGCATGCATATATTTCAATCGTTGCTTTGCTTATGCTCCCAGAATAAAAACAAAACAAAACTAACAACTAAAAAAACTATGCTCACAAGAGAAATAGCTGCAAAGTTTAAGATGTCTCCATCCCTCACAAGAGGTTATGCAGACTTGCACCTCAGCACCTTCACAGCTTAGTTAAAACTCCTTTGAAAAGTACATTTACCTCCAGTCACTGGATTTTGTACGGAAATAGCTGAGATGAGTGAATGCAAGTGCACACACTCCACTGCATCAGCTACTCTAACAGTCCCAGCTGAAGACATGCACTGGTGAGATCTTAAATTATATCAGTTAGATCTGCCTAGAGCTCATCCAACCTCTCTTCAAGTTTCCACCATGTTCTTAGATCTTATGGAGACTGAATTAGCCAAGCTACACTTTGGCTAATTTCCCAGCATTATTGCAGACAGGTAACAGCTACCGACAGCTCTTATGCTGTTGTCAAAAATCTCTGATTCTTCCTGCTTCCCCACAGTCAGAATTATTTTCTGTTTGAATGACTGGTGCTCCTGGCTGACCTGCAAACTTCCTTCAGATCAATAGCCGGCAAGATCACGAACCCATCGCAGAGGAGTGCTGATTGTGCTACTGTTTATAGAAATAGGTAATTCCTCCCCCCAGCTTTCTATTATTGTGTCAAGTGCTCCAGGAACTACATCTCATGTCCAGACCATTTGCTGTGGGAATTATTTCCCCAACAGAAATGCGTCCCATGCATGGGAATAAATGTTAGTATTTTATTTTCTCTGGGGAAACAAAATAGATTAGAAAATCAACAGTGTTTGTATATATCTTGAAGTGAAAATCCTACACAATTCTGAGGTCAGAATATACTGGATTAAACTTTGCACTGGAGGCAAATTCTTGGATATACATCCTTGTTCCTGTTCCTCTCCTGCTTTCAGAAGCAGAGAGAAAATGAAACTCAACTGCCTCAGGCAGTACACAAGTCACATTCTTCTCTGATTGTTACAGATTTATTTTAATTCCAAGTTTCTCTGCCTCTTTCTACATGGTGTTCCCAGGAGCCCTGAGCACTTTTATTAGTATTGTTAAGATAAATCTAAAATAAGAGAGACATAAAGGTCTCTTCATAGTCCTGTCTCAGCTCCAACTCAGCACTGAGCCTTACATTTACTGGTTTGGTTTTTACTTAATTTTCAAGGCTGAGCCCTTCAGTGCTTAAACAGCTGTCACGAGCTTGAACAGAGAACTACTTCCTGGCTGGGAGAGGTTGGTACTCTCTGTACCAAAACTGGCATCTCAGAGAATCACAAAGCACTTGGTATCTGTCAGCACACTCAGCCTATTCTGTGAATCCAGACAATCCAGACTCAGACTTGCAGCAAAATAGAAGCAGAAGAAAAACCAGCTGTAGTTATCTGGCAACACACAGCTGTCTGGTCTCACCCCTCTGGCAGATGGCCTGGGTCTCTGTCCCCCTTCTTTCTGCCTAGGGAGCACAGGGGTGCTGGCACTTGGCAGCTCAGGTCTGGAAGCAGAAAAGCTGCACCAGAGTGACAGAGCCCTGGAGCCAGTAAGCTGTGCTGAGCTCCTGCTCTGCTCCTCCACTCCAGCTGGCTTGGACCCACACAGCTCAAGTTTCTCTGCCTATCACTTCCCTGCTCTCCAGATTCTGGGGCCAGCACAAGCAGAGGCAGCCCAGATCTGTTTGCACACAGGATCTAAGTTGTTTTCCTGTTGCACAAAGCAGAGCAAAACAAGATGAAAGGAGTAGCAGCTGGAACTACAAAGCTTTGTAGAGATTCTCTAACGATGCACATATTTGCTGGATCTGTAAATGAGGAGACGCTTTTCAAACATTTTGCACTTGTAAAAGGCTGCTAAGGGAAATTCACCCATCCTGCAACTTTAAGAGCTGCAGCTGTGGAGTGTAAGCACAGAGCAGTAAGCAGTTTGCTTGCCCACGGCTGCTTTCCTCATGCAGCATCTCTTTCTCCCTATTGGAGGGTGCACTTCTGATAAAAAGAATTGGCAGTAAGCTAGAAAACAATCAAAACGTTTTTTTTTTCTTCCCCTCCCGTGCCACCTTCTGCCTGGGGAGATTTAGAGAAAGTAGGACTCTATGAGGAAAAGAATGACAGCCTGAAGCTGCTGTACTAACTTCCGGTTAACACTGCATGAAAGCATTCAGGGAGCTCCTCATCCACTTCCTCCTCAAGTCCAGAGGACAAGAAAACGAAAGCATATGACCCTGCCACAGATGAATGAGGCACCCTTTTGTCAATCCGAAGGGCAGTCATTCTTCTATTGAATCACACTGCAAAATTATTTCTATCTCACTGTCGTGCTTTCAAACAGTTGCCTAAACAGTTGCAGGAATTCAGTTTGCTTTCATTTCAGATTGCAAATAAAAACAGAAACCAAAGCAGTAAGAATAACACAAATGTAAGTATGTGCTTTTATTTTGTACTTTCATGGCACATTTTCATTTGTAAACATTAAATTACCAGTCCTCTTCTTCATATGTTGAAAATAACCACCAGACATTTGAGAGAATTACCTGAGATTTAAAAAAAAAAAAAAAAAGACAAAAAAAGAGAGAGGAAAAAGATCTGGCATCTTTTATATTACTCACATACAGTACCATTTTAGGAAGACTTACAAAAGGGAATGTTTTTCAAAATAGGACACTTTTCTTTTGACTATAAAGATATACAAAATACATCAAAATGCATTGGAATGATCAGCCTTATTAAGAGTATGTGGCAAATCAAACAATTGTTTGATTGATCCAATTGTTTCAAACAATTCCATTAATGCATAGCTGAAATACTGCATCAGTCCTGCAGCAGCATGATGTCCACATTGTCATGAACACCTTGTAAAAGCAGCTCTCCTTGGTAAGTGATGATCTTCCGTCGTTTTGCTGCCTTAAGCGTTCCCACCAGGGCTTCAAAGAGGTTGGCACACTTCTCATCAGCAAACAGCACACCAAATTTCACACTCACTTGTCCATCAGCATCTAAATCAAAGACATAATGTAGATTTCCTTCAAATTGGGAGATTACTGGGGAGATAAGGTGACACAAAGAACATTGAAAGTAAACCCCACTGTGTTTCCCAATTTATTTGGGATCATATTATAAATGCTGATGATAAACAGTAGGCATTAGTCCTGCCTAATTTAACTTTGCCATTGCTTCCAGAGGCTTACATCAAGGACCATATATCTGCTCTGTTTACTTTTATTGATGACTTTCTGAAACCTATGACAGGCACAGGCTATTGAACCTCTTCACTGTGTTTGGAGGAAATTCGTTTTAAATAACTAAAATCCTAGAATATCTCAAATTGAGGGAGACCCATAAGGATCAAGTCTAACACCCTGCTCCTCCAACCTAAATCTAAACCATACATTAAAATATTTTTTCACATTTTTTTCACTCATTAATATTTGAGGGTCACATTGAAAAGGCTTCAATGTGAATTTTCACACAAAGCAAAAACTTAAAAATATACATTAAAGTTATGTTATTCCTACAAAGCAGATGCAGTCATGCAAAATTCAAGATGTACATATGTGTTTAGGTTTTGAAAAAAGAAGTGGCCAGAACTGACATATAGGAGCAGGTAGCACATCCACACACTACATAAATATTTGTAAAGAAAGAGGAGTTTTAGCAATGAAAAACTATCTTAAGAGGAAATGGTACCTTCTAAGCAAGTTTAAGGAAGTTTGGAAGTACACATATAACTCCTGGATTAGTTTTAGGCATTTAGACCAATTTCTTCCAAATAATAATCCCATGAACAGAATTGAAATGCACGAATTCTGAAGTAAAAAGGTTACCAAGGAAGGAGCTGGAAGGAGAAGGTGCAACTATCTTCTGTGCTGACTGTAGCAAGTATTGAAAGCCTAAAGAAAAGGTGACTCTTGCAGCTGATTCAGAATTCAGGGAGCAGGATTTCAGGCCTACATCCTCTCTGCTGCAGAAGCTTAAATGTTCAACTTTATAACAGAACTGCTTTAAAAGGATGGAACACAGGCAGTACCGTAGAGCCCAGCATTAAGTGCATATGCAGGTTTTCACGTTACCTGCTTATTTGAATTTGCCAAGTTCTTAGTTTGATATAAGACAACTTCATCTGTGTGACATGCATGCATGGTGATATGTATGTACATACACGCATCTATAACATGATTACATCCATGCAGAGACACTACAATACTTACTTTTGGTTCCCAGCCGCCGAATCTCCTCAACTAGGAGGCTAATTTCATGTTCCACATTCATTGTGGTCTAAAAGGAAAAAAAAATTTACAAGTTATTAGGAATCCTGTAAATCCTTTACATCCTTCTGGTGTGTTCTCAGTTCTTTAGGAATGTCACAACACTTCATAAATCCTAGAAGCCTGGAGATGCATGAGTACAGGATAATCTAGGATTTTAGTTTTGAACAGATAAAGAGCCTCTGCACCTCCACATTTGCAGGGAAAGGAACAGAGGTTACAATCTTGTTACATTCTATTCACAAATATGAGGAGCCAATCACAAAATATGACAGATGTGGGAAGGTCAAGGAAGAGGAGGGTTGTTTGTTTTAAACAATGAGCTTAAGCTTCCACAGAATTAGAGGTCTTCAGGGGCTTTGCAACATTTTATCAATGGCCTCAATTAAAATGGAACGTCTGCCTTTAAATTTCTCTCTGGGATATGTGGTAGATTTGGTTTCTTAAACCACACCACAGCTTTCTACATATGCTGGGAAGATATTGCAGACACTTATTGCTGGTTACAGACACATATGGTGTCTGAAAGGACAGCAGTTCCTGCACACCTGCTACTGAGAGCAGAACTGATCCAAACTATGCAAGTGACTTAAGGCAGTCAACATTTTTGCCATTCAAAGTGATCCCCAGAATCTACTACACTGCCAAAGGTATCCTGGGCTCCTCTTGGTGAAAGGCAGCAATTTGCACCCATGTGTGCCGATGCCTTGCAACAGTTTAGCCATATGTGGCACAGCATATGGCAACACTACAGTCACACACAGCACTTCTGTCCACAGCACAAAGCGCCCAAGGTTAACAACTGCAGACCCCTGAACGCTGTTTTATGGCCTATACTGTGCAAAGCAGCTTCAACACAATGAAACCTTTAGATATTTAACTCCTTAAGCAAAAACCGGCACTGAGGCAAGCACAAGAAACTGGGCATCACAGACAAAGCAAAGCATCAAATGCAGCTTCCACGGATGCCAACAATGCAGCCTGGAACAAAAGCCACTGAGAGCTTCTGGAGCTGAGCATTAGATAAAAAGGGCTCAGTGAGCACTGAGACCCCTTCTTTTGTTCAAGAAACCGGGATTTCTGCACTAGTATGAAAGTGGAGTTTAAAAAAAAGACATCTGAATGCATCATAAACTCTTCCTAGGAGAAAAGCTTCCCCTCCTTTCTTTTTTTATTGAGTTAAAATAGGTAAGAGTGACATAGTTCCACTTCCTGACCCCTTATGACTTACCCAAGCAGCAAAAAAACCTTGCAGCAAAGTATGATTTTTAGATCCAAAATTCACATGCAAAAAAAAAAAAATGTTTCTTTTTAACATGCAAAACTGAGCAAGGTTAATTATCAGCATGGGTTTCAGGCAAAGCCCCAGCCAAAGCACAGGTTCATCCCCAGCGCACGGTAACAGCAGCACTGCAGCGGATATCAGCAGACAGACAGGTGACATTGAAACTGGATGTGCTGCCGTGGGACCAGCGCTGCAAAGGGCAGGGCAGCAAGGCTGCACAGCTGCAGCTACCTTAGTTTGAATTCCACAAACTTCCGGATTTTTTTTTGACTCGGCATTAAATGGATCAAGTCAGCAATGAAAATATGACCCATCTCTTAGAAAGCTTACACTCCCATTATTTTTCAGGCTGCCAGTTTTGATACTGGTCATCACAACGGCATAATCACCTCTTTAAAGATGTTCTTCTCACTTTAAAGGCTCTTTTTTACTTTCAACTCTTTAAATTCACGTTGATTTCTAATTATTTTCATACATGTACACCATTAATATAAACAGCAGTATTTAGAATTTTTAAAAGTTAATTCTACATTATTAGGCAAGGCTTTTGAGATCAGAGAAGTATGGCTGAGCAAGTAGTAGGGATGCTCGGTATTTCAAAACTTAAATATTTGCTTTATACTGTAGATGTTCAACACACCAACTATCAAAAGTGCACGCCAGCTACTAGACTCAATATTCCTGATCCCAATACACCGCTGCAAGGCGGTACGTGGTATGGAAATTTAACTTCTCCTTATTTGGCAGAAACGCGCCGAACGGCTGCGAGCGCGCACACACACACGCACATCTGTCACCCACCGCGCCCACCTGTCCCCCTGCGGGCACTGCTGGCCCCTCGGCAGGACCGCGCCGGGCGGCAGAGCGCGGTTCCCTTCCCACACGGCGGCGGGATCCCAGTCCCTCCGCCGCCTGCGCGGGGAGCACCGGGAAGCGGGGAGCACCGGGAAGCGGGGAGCACCGGGAAGCGGGGAGCACCGGGAAGCGGGGAGCACCGGGAAGCGGGCCCCGCCGGCCGAGCGGCAGCCGCTCCCTGCCCGGGCAGCGCCTCCGCCCCCGGCGCGGACCGAGGGAGGGAGGGAGGGAGGGAGGGAGGGAAGGAAGGGCTCCCCGGGTAGGACCGAGGGAATGAAGGAGGGCTCCCCGGGCCGGAGGGAGGGAAGGATAGACGCACGGCTGTCCCCGACCCACTCCCTCCCGCTCGCCACCACTCACCGCTGCTGGCGCCGCCGCTGTGGCCGCTCGGAGCCGGCGGAGCCGCGGGGCAGCGCCGGGCGGGGCCGGGGCCGGGGCGGGCGAGGGGCGGGCGGAGGCGGCTCTGCCCCGTCGGGGCGGGCGAGGGGCGGGCAGAGATGACTCTGCCCCTCCGGGGTCGCACCGCCTCCCGCGCTGAGCTCCCACCGCCCCGGGGCGGTGCTCCCGGATATCTTGGCTTGCTCTGGCCGTGGGGGATGATCTGGGAGCGGGCTGGTGCTGCCCGGCCTGATCCCTCTCCCATTGCTGTTCCAGGGTTACGTTGTGCCCGCGGCACGGCCCCCTAGTGAGTTTGTTAGGTAAAACGCCTTCCAAGGGCAGCCCTTCAGCAGATCTCCCTCTTCCAGTGGGTCAGCTTTCTGTAATTCACCCTATTGCTTCGGTCACTCTCCGTCACCGTCCCGTGCCCCATAAGCCCCATCTCCGCTTCCCCGGGTGACATCATGTCACATTCCTTAGCAGCCCCCCCCCCCCTTTATTTTCTCCTAGAAAACCAGTTCTCCTTCCAAAGAAAATAAACGAGCTATGTTAACACCATTTACCCTCGATAAAGTTGTGTTGCAGTGTGTCTGTGTTTCCATTCAGCACCCATATCCTCGCACCCTATGCTGCAGAAAGAATGCAGTGTAATTTTTTCTGTCTTGTGTCATGGTATTCACTGCTACTCTTGTTTCTTTTTCTTCCTCTTTACCTCACAGAAGCGTTTATGTCCTCTCTCAGGGACTCAGGGGTTTAAGCTGAGAGCTGCATTAACTCCTACAAACCAATGAAGCTGCCACCAAACCCCCTGTCAGAGTCAAGGCTCGCACCGAGACTGTCCCAAAAATTCTCACTCCCACAGCTGAAGGCATTGGCGTTCCCGGCTGTCTTTCCCACCTCCTCATCAGGCATGACTGCCCCTAAAGCAGAGTTGATAAAATAAACTATTTCCAGCCCTCGCTAATCACAGTTTTCATGCACTAGTATCTGAAGGTGAGGCTGAGATTCTTTCCCAGACTGTGAGCTGTGCTAGTTGGGGCTGGGCCCTTCCTACATTCTCCCATCCCGGGTTGAGGAGGAATAAATAGGTGATGGCACCTCAAACCACTGCAGCAAGCTCTGCTAGGGCTCAAATCTGCAGCTAGATAAATTGATTTGCACACTGGAAATGATACCAAGAAGATCAAGCCCACTGCTTTTCCAAGGGATTTTTTGGATGGTGTTTTCATTAAAAGATTAACTTTTCCTTTGAATAATCACTATTTATCAATCAGTTACAGAATCTTTTGTAGTTTATAAAAAACCAAAAACATACTGCTTTCTAGTATTGATATGCTATCAAAATATTTTCCAGAACAGATTAGATGTATTTTACATCAATAAGGGGTGCTCTTTGCAAAAAAAAAAACCTTGATAGTTCGGAACAAGATTAAAAGGGCTACATTCCTAAGATGCTAATGAAATAAATGAAATTTAAATCTCTCTGAATTGAATTAAAAGACAGTGAAAATTCCCAGGAGAATGTAGTATCTGAAGAGCACTGATGTTCTGTGCATACGATGTCATATGTGCGTACTGCTTTTCTAAGGTTTTTGTTATATTGGCTGACAAAATGCTAAATACTACAGTCAAAAAGGTAGTTTTTTAAGGTAGATCTGAGGTAAAGCTTTTTAAAATGAATCTGATTAGTATGTTAGCAAATACATCGAAGATTCCAGTTATTTAGCAGTACAGAATAAACGTACTTGTCTTCTGGTTTTATTGTTAACAACATGCTTTCAGTTGCATATAATCTAGATTTCCTAATCATCAGAAAACCTCATTACATTTGCACAAATAATGTAGGCCTTTTCATAATGTGATTGTTATTATGGATAATTTATGTTTGATCAAGTAATAGTTTGTGACTTTTCAGACTAAATGTATTATTATTACGTTGATGATGGAATCTATGTTAAAAATTCTTTCCAGTTTTGATTAAAAAAACCTAATTTATAAGAAGCATCAACTATATATCTGAGAAAGATGAACAGAGCTCTGTAATTCCCCATCTTATTTTCTTTTAACACATTTTTTTGAGTAAGCCTAATATAATTTTTTTATTATTCTGGCTTTTGAAAAGGAAGTGTTATACCCAAGTATTTGTCTCCAGGCATCAGATTATTGAAACACTTTTGTTACTATTTCTTTCATGGCCCTTCCTAGTCATGTAATATTAAAATAGGTTAATAAGAAATCAAAACCATCTGTTACCAGGACAATTAAGGTAACAGATACTGACAAAGTACAAAAATTAGCTGGGCAGCATCAGAACTGAATGACTGATTATGTCCTTACAGGGGCAGCATCAGTGAGCAGGAAACATGATAATTATGGAGATGATGATTTCCTATCATTCTGTTTCCACAAATTGATGCTGTTTTAACAATGAAGGAAGTGCAAAATTGTCCTTTACAAGCTCACAGGACAGACATGGAAATATTGTTCACACATATTTCATATAACTAGTGAAGGTCATCATCAGACTCATAATTCATTATGCAGTTTAGCTGCATAAGAGTGCTCCCTAAAACTCATGAGATTCTGCCTTAAAACATACTATTCTGATTGACCTTCCTTGGCATCTCACTTTATTGTTGCTGTCCTCCCAGATGCCCATGAAGGCAGCCAAACAGAGGAATTATGTACAATGCAAAAACATTGCTTGAGAACAACACAGTAGACATATTGCATCTGATCAAACCATCAATTTAACTGGACATTTTGCCTCCAGCAGGGACTAAGAGCAGGCATTTGGAAAACAGTGCAATCAATGAAAACTATTGGTTTTCTCCTGGCTCCTGGCACTGGAGCAAGCAATTATTCTATCCTCTCCTTTCCCCATCACATTCCCTAATTTAATCTTATATAAGATGAATGTCTCTCCATGTTGCTGATCCTTCTTGTTTCTCATTATAATTTTTCAAACAATTTTGTGTTAGTTTCTGTGATTGAAGTAGCAGAACAGTCAGTATTATTCAGCATGTGGGTACAGTATATACAAAAGACATAAGGATGTTTTCTGTTTTGTTCTCACTCCCAGTAATAAAAATTCCAACATTTTACTTGACTTTTTGATAAGTTCTAAGTGCTACGCATAATGGTTTCAAAAACTATTTCCAAAGTTGTAGTAATTAGTTGTTCTGTTATAGATAATTAGGATCACTCTCCTCCCAGTACAATACTTTGCATTTCTCAGTAGCGTCAGGTATTATTCTGCATAATTTAAAATAGAATCACACAAACTTCATCACCTCTTCACCCATGTCTTCAATGACAATTGAATGCTTTGAACAGCACAGGAGGTCCAAACAGAAATGGTACTAAGAGCACATTAATAATCTCTCTCAGTCACGACTATCAGTTGACTACCAGCTTTACCTCTTTGCCTCCTCCTACCTTTCAGCTGTTCATTGATTCTGAATGAAATCTGAATATCTTCTCATCCCATGAGAAATTAGTTTTATAAAAGTACTTAATGTTTACAGTAAACACTTTGTAAACACATTTGTTGTTACAGGTTTCTCCAGAGGCAGGTACATAATACAATTAGGGCCGAGCCCGAAAAATTTAGGGAAAAGTTACAAGGTCGTTTGCTAGGTAATGGCCATTTATATTGTTTTCCAGCATAACTAGACATTCTCACTTTACTAGTATATGCTGATAACCCATGCTGGTTTTTTTTCGTATAATACTGTTCTTTTTAATTTATGTCATATTACATGTGTTTATGCATGGGCAGGCATATGCATCAAATGTGCATACACAGAGTTTTCTGTTGAGATCCTCCCCAGCTAAAAACCATTAGAACTGACACCATGATTTGCAGATTTCACTGTTAGGTAATTTTAACAGCCTTCATAAGTAATCCAGGTCTTACTTTTGTCTTAGAACACATTTTTGTTTGACATGTTGATTTAGTAGAGATATCAGTTCCTGCTGCATGTCCTGTGTCCCATCCCCTTGCTTTAACACTGGTAACTTGTACCTGTTCCAAGTGCCAGATTCTCCTTACTGTCCCCAAAGCTGGATGGAAGCTGTGGTGCTGTGATTCAAACAGGAGTGTGTGGATGTGTCTTGCCTTAGCCCAGCCCCATCAGGTGTCTGTGCCATCAGCCTGCCCTGAGTCACTTCTCACCATGGGTGTATTGCACTCATTGTGCAGGTGTGCTGTAGGGTTATGACTCAACGTGACTCAACATGAACTCGTAAAGCCACGTCAGCCCAGGCTAAAACAGGTTGAAAAGTCTTCATATGATTTAAAGATTTCAAGTGGTAGAGGATCTACTATGTTCCTTATTCTTGTGGACTTTGTAACACCACAGAAAATGTAAGATATCTTTTTCTAGAACACGATATGGTCCTTGGGTACAATGAGAAATTAAAATTCAAGTCAATGCTATTATAGATAGCTGAGGGGATAAGTAATATTCAGAGTGTATGAACATTAGGGGCAGTCAGAAGAATAGCTGTATTTTTTGAGACAAGCCAATCAATGAGGAAAACAGCACTCCATATCCAAAGCATCTTCATAGTTTTTGGTCCAATCATTGTCTTCCTCGGCCACTCTCTCTGTCTTAAGTCAGCAGTTGTTTCAAGGGAGAAAATAATTTAACCAAAATGATGTGATGCTTTGGAAAACTTTCCATGAATTTGAATGTAGAGCCACATTCAAAAATATTAATTTTATGGGCTCTTAACTTTACTTTTCCTATAAAGACCAAAAAAGGCCAAACCAAAAGAGAACAACAGAAAAAAACCCAACATTTTCTCTTTTTTAATCTCTCAGTGAATTGAAAAAGTAACTTAGCAAAACATAAACATTTCTTTTACTGTAAAAGCAAATATGCCAGACCAGCCTCAGAACAAGAGAGACTACAAATACAGACACAGTGACTGCTGACAGTGTTGGTTCTTGAATGAGCACTTCAATTGAGGTGGATGGAATGATTCACTTAAGCTCAGCAGTGTCT